TGGGCTTGTTTCCTTGATCTCAGTTGGGAAAGGCCTCCTGGACAGAGTGTGACCCTTACACATCAGTGACTGACTGAATGCCAGCGCTACTGTAGGAGCCGAGGCCTGCATGGAACTGACAGGGGGGTTTAGATAGGCAGGCTGAGGCAGGAAGACAGGGCACTGGCTCTCACTGCAAGGGAAATACAAGTATCACTTCTCATAGACAGTACACAGCTGACAGCAAGGGTCTGTGAACAGAGATTTGGTTAGGAAAAAAGGGAGAATGGTGGGTTAAAGACAAATTGTATCATAAAGGTCAAGAAGGAGAATATGTGACAATCAGTATTGCCAAATACAAAATAAATGCTAGCTGAAAGAAGACATTGGACTTCTTTGCAGCTCATAATGGTTAGTTTTGTGATTGTACTTGGCTGAATCTGGAGTCAACTGAAAGGCAAGCCACTGGACACATTTATAAGGGATTTTCTTCATCGGGATATCTAAAAAGGGAAGACCCACCCTAGATGTCAGTGGTAGATTTTTGTGGCAGCCTCAAGAAAGGAGGTAGAAAGAAGCTTTTGCTTTTGCCTGCTTTCCTTCACTACCACTGGGAAGCTCATCTGCTCTGCTGCTGCTGCTGCTGCTGCTGCTACTGCTTCCTGCTGCTTCCTCCTGCTGCTGCTGCAGCTGCTGCTTCCTGCTGCTTCCTCCTGCTGCTGCTGCTGCTGCTGCTGCTTCCTGCTGCTTCCTCCTGCTGCTGCTGCTGAATTCCTTCACTGTTATCAGGGTGCAAATGCCTCCGGATCCTAACATGTACCAAACCCCAAGACAGCTCTAGGAACTCTCCAGGTTTTCAGCACTAGACCGGGGTACTCAGTTACCAGCCTCATGGACTGAGCCACTACCCTGGGCTCTCATGGACTCCAGAGTGAGACAGTCATTGTTGAGCAACCCAAATTGTATTATGCAACCTGATGGAATACATATAAATTTTATATATTAAATGACCAAAATAAGCCCACAAAGGAGTTTCCATTCCTTGTCAAATATAGTACTAACCTAACCCTTTGCATTTGGTAAACACTCAATCTCTACTAAACGAAACAGTGTTTTCATTTACCAATCAACTGACCTATAGGAACAATCCAGTGCCTTCCAAATAAAACAGCACAAAACAGAATCGTCATTGGGTAGGAAGGACTATACAAATCAAAACATATTTTATGTTCTAAGTTGTGGGCTAATTGGTGAGAAGAAATTAATTTTCCTGCTCCCTGACAGCACATACCCAAAATACTCATCACAGTGGGAAGGAAAAGAAATGACTGCCTTCAGAGTAGAATCGAAGGGTTAAAAAATAAAATAAGAGACCTTGAACGATCTTACTTTACAAAAGGATCAGGCACCAAGCTGCTGCAATTCACCTTAATTGCATATCAATCATTATATTAGACATATGTAATCGAGACTTCAAGGATTTTGAAATAATGTGTTTACAGTGTAAAAGTGAAAAAGCAGACCACCATATTGTATGATGCTTGGGGCTAGAGAAAATGGGTAAAGTCAACATACACGCATCAGGTGTACACATAAAGTGGGAATAAACGACTACAGAAAATTAAATGGTTAACAGACCTGAGTGGTAGAATTCAACTTTATTTTCTTTATCTCGTCTGTATTCCCCCAACTTTCTACAGCTACAGCGGTCTGAAATTCCCATGTCATGGGAACCTGTATCTAAGCGCTTATCAATTTGAGCACTTCTCTCTGGTCTAGAAGGCTCTAAAATAACAAGGTACCTAGTAAATAAACGGCGGACTTGAAGTGGCCTGCAGTCTCCTTCATCCCAACTCAGCCTTGCTCTTTCCATCTTAACTGCCCTGGGCTCTTCCTGCCTTCTGGATTCTGAAGAAGAATTCTGAGCAGGCCCCTGAGGGAGGGGAACACACCCCAAGTTTTGGGAGGGCAGTGGTGGAATCAACCCCTCACACTGAGAAAGCGCTGGGGACTGAGGGCCCCAACCAGGCATCGCTAAATGCGCTTCTAGCTGACTCCGCCTTCGTCGTTCATCTTCTCCGTGGAACCTCAGGGAACTGATAGAGGCCCGAGGCTCGCTCGGGCAGGAAGCGCCTGCCACAGGGGACTCCGTGCGACCCCGCGGTCCAGTGTCCTCCGGAACGGCCTCGCCCCGGCGCCGGGAACTCCAAGGGCGGGCGCCCGGGAACCTGCTAGGTGACTCGGACGCCCAGGCAGGGCTGAGATCCGAGGCTCGTCGCAGCCTGCCGTCCCCGGACCTACTCCGCCACTGCCTCCGCCGCCCAAGCGAGAACCGAGCCGGCAGCCGGCGGAGCCTCCCGCAGCCCGGAGCCCAAGGCGGTTGACGTAACGGGCCGCAAGCCGCCGCGCTCTCGCGAGATTTACGCTGCCTCCTCCCCGTCCTGGATCCACGTCAGAAGGAATCGGGCGGAGCGGCCAACATGGCGGAACGCAGGCGACACAAGAAGCGAATCCAGGTAGCTCGTCGGAGCCGTTAATTGGGGACCTGGGCGCCCCGGGAGGTGGAGAGAGCGGGAAAGACGTCCGAGCCGTCTGGCCGCTGCAGGATGTTTCGGCAGGGTCGCGGCGCCGTGACGGGCCTGCGGCGGGGCGGTGCTGGCGGCCGCGGGGTCTGCGGAGCGGCGGGGAAGGAAGGGAGGGAGGAGGAACGGCGCTCGGAACCCCGCGCCCCGCCCCGCGTTCATGCGGCGGCAACGGCGGGCCCGGCCTGTGAGGCGAGGCCGGCCTTCTCAGGATAGCAGACGCGGGGCTCAGGGGTGCGGGGCCTCCCGTCCCTTCTCCGTTCTTCCCGGCGCTGCCGAAATGAAGGCCACGGTGGCTCGGGTGGGAGGCGGCGGAGGCGGACCCGAAGGCCGAGCCGCTGCTTTGTGCTCCCGGTCCCCTGCACCCTGCCTGGTCTGCGGGCTCCCGGTGCAGACGTTAGGTGGCGTCGGCCCTCCCCTCCCTCTCAGGAGTTCTTTTAACCGCACAGCCTACTTGACGCTCGCTGGCCGGCTTTCCTCCAGGCGACGCGGTGTAAACAAACCCAGCCCGGTCGGTGCTGTGATGAGCTGGTGGCACCTTTCCTGTGCCAGCTCGGCAGCCTCCTCCCTGCACACCATCCCCCTCAGCCCATAGGGATGGACGTCATCTGTGCATCTCTTCCCCGCACTTCTCTCCCAGTTGTGCGTTCTTTGTTGAACATCCATATGGGTTAAATATCGATGTAACGAGCGCCTCACGAGCTCACCCAAAAACCCAAAGGCGTAATAAGTTGATGGCATGTGCTAAATTGTTAATAAACCAGTCCCAAGTTGCCTCACTCTGTCTTTCTGTTCCTAGCTCAAGATGGCTTTTTCTTTTTTCATTTTATATCTACTTGGAAAGTTTTACTGATTAATTAACCCACGGGTCTTTTGAACTATATAAGTTAAAGTTTAAACCTTTTAAAAATACTCTGGGAGACATACTAACACTCAGCAAGTTTCGAATTTGGCTGGCGTAACAGTAATTTTGGACAGGGTACAGAAGGGAATTAGAGACATATTCCAACTTCACATAGGTCTTTACACCAAAGTGTCTAGACAACAGCAGTTTCTAATTATGTTATTCCTAGGCTTTTGAAATTTAGTATTAGGGTTTAAGGTGGATAGTTACTGTATTACAGTTTGTATTGAAGTTGTGGTTGTACCTCCTTGTACTGCCTATATTTACCCCTGGCAATACAAATTTGTACTTTTTTGCTCCTTAATACACATTATTTTACAGTTTTATCTGATCTTCAATATTGTCATAAAGGTAATAATGTACTTTTTAAATGGCTTCTCGTATTTCAGTTATGAACTTTTAGGTTAAACAGGAAAGTAGGTGAAGAAACTTTATAGCCTTCTAATGTAGGGGCCACTCAGGCACCATATGCTTGTTTGTAAGCCAGCTCCACTAGTTAGCAAGGGCTTGAAAGTTTTGCTTTTTTTTTTAACTTCAACTTCTGCTTTTGCAGGGATTGCTTATCTTAAGAAAACTCTTTGTAGAGTTGATATGAAAACATTAAGTAAGTGAATGACTTATTAAAAGTTATTAAAAATGCTTGGCACATAACCTCTTTCTTGCCCCCCTTCACCAGAGTAAAGAAATTGGGTTAGGTTATATTTATTTTTGTTTATCACTCCTTAATAAACTTAAAAATAATATACAGCCACCTATTTGATAAATTAACCATTAGGCTGTAAATTATATGAAATATGGCTATTTAGTTTGTTTGAGATTCTAGTTATTAAAAGTCAGCTTGGTATTGTGAAATTATTTTTTTTTCCTATCCTCTACATTAATTTCTATCTGGCAGTATAGAATGTTTGTGGAAGATCTTACAGTACTATTATTATACAGCCCAATAATTTTTTTTAATGCTTATCGTTTGATTATGTGTCGTTATGTGCACAATGGTCCAGGTGCCAGTGGAGGCCAGAGAGGGGTGTCAGCTACTGTGAAGCTAGAGTTACAGGCTTCCTGACAGCAGGTACTAGCATCCAAGCTGATGTCTTCTGGAAAAGCTGTGCGTGCTTAACCACTGAGGCGTTTCTTCAGCCTCTTCCAACTGCCCAAGGAGGGCATTCCTCAGTTCTTTTATTCTTGTCAAGAATCAAAATCTCTCATATTGGCATTACTTGAGATTAAAAGATCGAGTGTAATGACTAAATTCAGAGTTGTTACAGCAAAAAGCATTTACACACTAACTGTTGATTTTCCTGTTGTTACTTGATGGTTTTGTTTAGAAATGATTTTTGAATAGATTTATTGATCTTGAATTACAGTGACTTCGTTGGGAGGGGAGGGATGTTTGTTACAAACACTTAGGTTGAGAGTTTTGTTTTGTTTTATTTTTGTAGCCAATTTATTTTCTTTTTTCAGGACAGAACAACTTTAAAATCTGGTGCCCCATCAGAGTTGGAAGCACGGGAACTGTATTCACATTTCTTTCTTGACTCAGATCAGGTCACTTAAACTGTGAAGTGAGCTTATGTGTTAATTGACGTTGTGTTGTAGAATTTGAACAACTGAGATTCTCTAATGAAAGTGATGTCAAGCCACACTAATGAAATATTTAAAAACAAAAGTAATTTCCATTAAAAAACGGAAAGTAATTATTTTTAGGAAATACAGTGACGTTATAGATAAGAAGGTAGTAGAAGCATTGATTTAGAATACTTGTATCTTGAGGTTTAAAAATGGAAAAGGATCTGATAGAACTTATTCGGAATTCTCTGTCCTCAATTTAGTCTCAGGAGATGAGTTGGTTCAGGGGCAGAGGCATGTGCCTGATGGCTTGAGTTTGATCCCACAAGGTGGCAAGAGAAAACTGATCTCTAGAATTGTCCTGACTTCTACTTGCTCATGCGCTCTCGCGCTCTCTCTCTCTCTCTTTCTTTCTCTCTCTTTCTCTCTTTCTATTTCATGCTTTCATGTGAGCTTACTGATCTCACCCTCATATTACTGACAAACTGATGTCCAGTGAGGTTGTTTGACTTTAACTAGGATTGCCTTTTAAGTTAGTAAAATTAGATTTAGACTAATCATCTAATTCCCATCTTATCATTGACTAAATAAGTTTTGAAATACCTTAATCCCAAATTATTTTACATACACATGCTCAATTTTGTGTATACCTGTATATCTTACTGGAGATTATGTGCACCTTTTTGCACCTGAGGACAGTAAAGGGCATCAGATCTGGAACTGGAGTTACAGGCTGTGGTGGCCACCCAGGACAAGTGCTTTGAAGAATGCTAGTGTGTGTCTTAACCACGGGGCTATCTCTCCAGTCCCCCAAATTCTAAATATAAAATATTTTGTCAAAGATTTAGTGTCACTTATTCCTGCTCAGAGAATCATTCCATCTAGTATTCCGCTTGTATACAGAAACTAGCTCAACTTTTAAATCTTCAGATGACTTCTGTATCTTAGAACTTGTATAACCTCCGTAAATTATTTTTGTTCTGCCCATCTGTTTCCCTGGCATTAAAATCCTGACTTACCATGGATTTATAGGCCTCGTTTCAGGAAAGAGAAGAAAAATGTTTGGAACTATTCAGCCTGACTCCTGGTCTGACTTCTTAGGACCTTCTGAAGGAAAAGAAAGAACCTATGAATCCAATCCTCATTCTGCAACTTCATCCTCTCCCCAACTCCAACATACAGGGTTAATAAAGAATTTTTGCAGAATATAGCAATCCTGTTGCCACAGGAACTATAAAAGAAACAAATTGGAGAGGGTACTGCTATTGTTAGCTCCCAGAGCTCTATGACTTTAAGCAAATAATTTATTTAAGATTCCCTCTAGTTTTCAGAATATCTTCTATTAACCTGTTTGCATTTTCATAATAGAAATTGCTGATGCCACTCTCTTATAGCAGTCTTTCTGATACTAAGCCCCCAGCAGGTGCTCCAAATAATACATTTTCATGAAGAGCTGTCTGCAGTAACGAGTATGAGTTACTGATACTTTAGGAGAGTACTAGTAGGCAATTGAATTCTGTGTGCACTTGAAAAAGTTCTTCTGATTCTTTTTCTGATTACTTTTCCTGATTCTTTCTGTCCATTGTTGTTGAGTAGTGCCTTTACCAAGGAAAACACAGAGTTGTGGGGAAAGTTGATTAACTTCATTGTTAAAGTGAGATTTAAAGACTTTTGCAGATACTTAACAGTGTCTGACTTTCTATTTCATAGTCAGCTTTACTGGGTTTTTATGTCTTGATATTTAACCAGTCAGGAAAATAATACATTAATCTGTGCTAATGGTTTAATTGAAGGTTTGTATACCATGCCCAAAGTCCTGATTGGTCTCTAGAATCACCTTTTTAATGCATTTCCTGTTATTGAAAAATTAAAAAAAATACTTTGAGCATATTCACTAAGTCCTCCCAGATCCCTTCCTACATCCCTATCCACCCAACTTTGTGTTTCTGTTTTACTGATCAACATAGAAATCTGATATTTAGTATCTACTTATTTTATTTACTCTTCACCATTAATCCTATGCACTCTACATTTGAAATATTTCAAATAAGTATATTTCCTTCTGATTCTTAGACTAGTATCACGTCACATTATTTGCCTGTTACCATAGTCTCCTAACTACTTTTCATGTTTCTCTCCTATTCATTTTGCCTGCAATCATAAAAAACCTTATTTGTTACTTTCCTATTTGTGTTCTGTTGAAAAACATAGTGACCTTCTGCTCCATATGGAATAAAGTTAAAATTTCTCAGCTTGCCTTAAGGACTCCGTTTTCTTTCTATACAAATTTTACTTTCTAGTACATTATCACTGTTCTCATTCAAGTCTTTGCTCATTTTCAGCTTCATTGTTTATGCTGTTTATTCAATTTACTCAGGGCTTGTCTTTCAAAATCAAGTTCTCTGTAAGACCCTGTGCACTGATAATTTCACTTCTACTTTATATATTTTCAAAACATTTTTATTATCATTCCTTTGGGAATACAGCAAGTGGTGTTCGGGGCATTTATGTAACAAAGCACAGATATCCTGCTGTCCTAATATATAGTGTAGCATCCAAAGATTATAGGCTAAACACTCGGGAAGTACGTATTTGATTGAATGAATGCCTTGCATTCACTGAGACCTAGTTATTTAATTGGGCTTCCTTCCTTTGATTTCAAATCAAGTACATCTTGATAACAAGTTACCAGTTAAGTGGATAAACTTTTAAGTTAGCAGCAGGTGCAATGAATGAGGAAAAATGTTTTATAGATGTTGGTGGTGTTATAAATTGTATTGGTTGAACTTTTAATTTTTATTACCACGAATAATTATATGGTGGTAGCTGAGTTAGCATAGAAAATTTGGGAATAGATACAGAATATAGTTATAGGAAAATATACATTAGTTTTTCCAAAACTGTTCTGTGTTACTGCACTACCGTTAGTAGGAATATCCCTTTCTATATTTCTCTTTTTGCCTGTCTTACAGGTGAAGAGAAAGTCCCAGACATCATCTGTGTCCTGGGGGAAAGGAAGGGACTCAGTGCCAGTCATCAGCACTGCAGTTCTTCTGGTCGCTGCCTTGAGAATTTTCACAAACTCACCCATTGATCAAGACACATAGCTTTGACTGTGTTATGACATTATTTATGGCACCTGTTTCTACTTACTGTGCCATGTAGGCTGTAATTATCCTATCTGCATCTTATCTTTTACATGATTGCTTTGTGAGTATTAGAAGAAGCCATCCAAAATGGAAGAAAACTATATAAAATAGTTACTATACTGGAAAAACAGCCTAATGATCTGTAATTGAGGCAAACATGGGACGGTTTGTATTTAGAAAATGTTGTGAAGAGTGTTCAGTTTTGCTTTTGAATGTTACCAGATCTGCTTCACAGATGTGTAAATTACTCTGTAGAGCTTGAATTTCTCACGTACATAAGTGCACTAAATTAATATTCCTATGTTGCAGGAAGTTGGTGAGCCGTCAAAAGAAGAGAAGGCCGTAGCCAAGTATCTTCGATTCAATTGTCCAACAAAGTCCACCAATATGATGGGTCATCGAGTTGATTATTTTATTGGTAGGATTACATCTCTAAAGTCTCACTATTATACAAATGCTATGAAGTTCCCTGAACTAGGCTATGTAAAGTTATGAAAGAGCTTGCATGTATGATTATTAAAGCTGGGCGATGGGCATATGGCTTTTGATAATCTTCGTTTTTCCTTTATGATTGAAAAGAAAAATGATAAAGTGCTTTATAATTAGTTTTGTTGGAAATTTTAAAAATAAGATTTATTTTCAGTGTTTGTGTGAAGTACCACCTTTTGTTCAGATAGTATGATTACATGGAACTAGCTAATGCGTTGTTCATATATATCCATTCAACCTCATAAGCTAATATCATCTATAATATCGCCCAATCTTATAAATAGTGATTGTATTTTTCTGGTTTCTCAGTTACACTTGTATTTTTTTCTTTTTCTTTTTTTTTCTTTTTTTTTTATGTTTTTGAGGCAGGGTTTCTCTGTAGCTTTGAAATCTGTCCTGAAACTAACTCTGTAACCCAGGCTAGCCTCAAACTCACAGAGATCCGCCTGCCTCTGTCTCCGGAGTGATGGGATTAAAGGCATGCACCACCACCACCTGTCTTTAATTTCTTTATACAGAAAGAATTCCTTCTTTGTTACAAACCAATCCCCATTAATTTGTCTTCCTTTGAATAATCTTATTTGCCAACATTGCTGTGGAGATGCTTATTAATATATTTCATGGGTTGGCCTTATAAAAAACACTAATGGTAGTAGTCATTAGACTTAATATTCTATTCTGTTTTGTTTTTCTTTTCAGAATGTTGCGTTTGTAAAACGATTTTATTAGACATATTTATGTATACTGAATTTTAAATATCAAATTTCTTCTGTAGCTTCAAAAGCAGTGGATTGCCTCTTGGATTCAAAGTGGGCAAAGGCCAAGAAAGGAGAGGAAGCTTTATTTACAACCAGGGAGTCTGTGGTTGACTACTGCAACAGGTAATGTTTCTTGATAAAGCATGACAGTTAATGATGTCAGCTATTTCCATAGTGCTGAAGCCTCTTAACTCCCGTTGTTACTCACTGTAATGAGCTTTAAATGTGACCGGGATTTTATCGGTGGAAATATAGTTGTTCTTAGACTGACAATATTTTAAAATGTATGTAATTTATAGTTATGTTCTTTTACTGTTGCATATTTGCCAGGGCTTCTAGATGAAAAAAAATCAAGAAAAAAAGGTTAAACATGTCTAGATTCAACAAGTTCTGTGTAGAAAATGGTCAGAGAGGGTTTTTCCTGGATCTTTTCCAGGGTTGGCCATTAACTCTGTCATCCTTAGCTTTTAGTGGCTTTACTCTTGAATAAGCCAAGCTTGTTCGCTGTTTTCAGTGGTTGCTAATATCATATTCCTTTTAAAAACCATACAGCTGCACTGTCCTCGCAGGATAAAGTACGCACCCCTTGGTGACGCACACATTTTTTGTTTAGTTACTTTTCTTTGTAAAGAAACTTGTAGTAAAAAATTTATATCTCCAAAAGCAAATCAAATTGCCTTCCTCTTTCTGTTTAATATTTAAAGAGTATACTTACTAATGTGTATTAGCTCAATTTTGGTTTATGGTACCAAAGTTTAACATCTGAGTATTTGAGATTTTAGATTATATGTTTGCATGGGAGGTACACACAGCACTTAATGATAACAGTGCTTAATAACCCTTAAGTGTCGGGCTGGAGAGATGGCTCAGAGGTTAAGAGCACTGCCTGCTCTTCCAAAGGTCCTGAGTTCAATTCCCAGCAACCACATGGTGGCTCACAACCATCTGTAATGAGGTCTGGTGCCCTCTTCTGGCCTTCAGGCATACATGCAGACAGAATATTGTATACATAATAAATAAATATTAAAAAAAATAACCCTTAAGTGTCCACCATCTACCAGGTGTAGTGGTGCATGCTTATAATCCCCCATTGGAGAGCTGGGGGCAGAAATATCCAGAATTAAAGGTTATTTTTGCTTACAAAGTGAGTTGGAGGCCAAGCTGGACTACTTGAGATTCTATCATTTTTTTTTAAAAAAAAAAAAAAGGAAAGAAAGATAATGTTATTCATCTGAAAACTCTCTTTTAAAAACTGTTAAAGTTAATAAGTATCAAATACTTCTTAAATTTCTTAGTTACTGAATGACTGGAGATGAGTAATGAGCATTTCAGAAACAAGTTTTATTTGGGAAGTAGGACTCAACTAACAGTGATGCGGTTTATATTTCCTGTCTTGTGCAGTGATTTGTCTGATGAGAATTTCAAAATACAAACTTCCTGCTCTGCTTCCAGTTGTGTGTATGTGTATCCGCATGCACGGGTGTGCATGAGTAGTATGAAAAGTTAAGAGCTGCAGGAACTGGCACATAGCAGAGTGAAAAGCCTATCTGAGGTCAGAAAACAGCAGTACAGAGTAAAGCTTGAAATGGAGCGCTCAGGTCCCTTACTCTCCATCCTTGCAGCGTATCTCCTCCAGCAAGTTCATGATGCATGTACTGGAGCAGAAGTTAATGTGTGTCACCTGCCAATATTACTACTAAGGATATTAACTCTGTGAGCCTAAATATCTCATCAGGAGAGCAGCTAGTATTAATTCACATACTGTGGTCATTTAGGAACATTTACATTTACATTGTTATATGAAAAGTTCTAAAAGATCCTGAGGCTGAAGAGATGGCTTTGGTTACCTTGCTGCTCTTGCACAGGAGCCCAGTTTGTTTCCCAGCACCCACGTGACAGATTATGATCCTCTGCCACTCCAGTTCCAGAGGATCTGGTACCCTTTTCTGACCTGTGAGGACACCAAGTGTACCCATACAGTACACTTACATAGTGCAGGACACTCGACATACACATGAAAAAAAATCCTTATAAAGGAGAGAGAGAGAGATCTGGAACTTGGGAGAACGACCCAGAGACAAACTCACTTTGAATTGCTCGTTATTCCTATTCATGTCCAGTTGTTTGTGTTCTTTCTGCACTAAAATAAAGGGCTGGACCTAAGATGGTGTCAGCCACTTCTGATATAACCGTAAAGTCCTCATTATGACCAGTTCTCATGGGTTCCTGTTCAGCTGTAGAGGAAACCACAGTAAAACTTGTCCAGTTTCATTTCTAAAGCAACTAAATAAAGTCTGAGGGGAAATAATAGATCGAGAAATTCTATGCTAGCATTTTAGATATGTTGTCTTATTTTACATGTATGGGTGTTTGTGTTCTGTGTGTACCTGCTACCTGTGGAAGTTAGAAAAGGATATCAGATTCCTCTGGGACTAGAGTTATAGGTGGTTATCAGCTGACATGTGGTTGCTGGGAACTTAACCCTAGTCCTCCACAAGAGTAGCAAGGACTCTAAACTGTTGTGTCATCTCTCCTGTCCCTATGGCGTATTTTTTTTTGTATATGTTTTATACATAATCTCTTTAGCCTAATTTCAGTGAGACATTGTATCACCAACACACAATCTAGTATCTTAATATTTTTTTTTACTCTTAAACCCATGGAGTAGCAAAGTCAGTAAAATGCCAATAAACAACAATTGTGCTTACCATATAATACCAATACAAAACAAAAGATGACTATGAAATTGTATTTATGATTCTATCAATGCAAAACCTCAAATACAGAATGTAGCATTAAGACAACCTTTCATCTTATAACTGAGAAGATGTAAAGAATTTTTAAATTTCTTTAAATTCCCTTATTCTTGTTATAATTCCTTCACAATTAAGAAAACTTCCTCTAGAAAAGAAAAAATGATACCAGATTTGATAAATAAATAGTATTGATAAACAGGCTCTTGAGCAATAAAAACTATCACATAAGAAAGAGTAGAAGGGTCACAGGGTTCTTTTATTCCTTTTTTACTTTTGCTAAATATGAGTTTTAGATTTCAGGCCATAGAAATATTAAAGTACAATATAAACCTTTGCGCAGGTAAACTGTTAAATAATTTGACCAGTGTCTAGGTAATTCGAATCTGATTGGAATTTCCAGATGTTTCTTTCTAGCTGACTCCAATGTACTTTTCTAAATTAAGTCTCCAGTCATACACATTTTAATGGATATTAATTTAGTATTTCACTTTCCAGTGGCCTGAACATACTGTTATGATAGAAATAATCTTTATAGTACTGGGTTTCTGAAGGGATGTTTACATATTATACACTCCCTTTCTTCATTAGCTGTTAATAGAATGCTACCATTCAAAAAAAATATTCTCTTTGCTCCTATTTGTTTTCCACATTTCCTCTCTGATCTGGTCTTTGTGTGGTGCTGACTTGCCTCTTTCCCTGCTTGATTCTCTTTTCGCTCAGGTCTCCTAACCCACATTAACCTTTGTTATCTGTGGTTCTCTGACTCCAGACTCACAAGAGATCCTCCTGCTTCTGCCTCCCAAGTGCTGGGATTAAAGGCCTGAGCCACCATCCCCTGGTGATTTTAGTGTTTTTTCATGGCTGAGTAACATTCCATTGTGTAAATGTACCACATTTTCTTTTTCCATTCATTCATTACTGAACATCAAGATTATTTACAATTTCTGGTTTTAGAGCAGCAATAAACATGATTGAACAAGTGTTTCTGTAATAGAATGAAACCTCCTTTAAGTTTACTTCCAAGAGTGGTGTAGCTGAATCTTGCGAATTGCCACACTGATTTATTTCCTTAGTGGCTGTGCAAGTCTGCACTCGTACCAACAATGAAACTGTGTCCCTTGCTCTACACCCTTGCCATCATGAACTGTCAATTGTGTTATTAATCTTGGCCATTGTGTTTGGTGTAAGATGAAATCTCCAAATTGTTTTGATTTGCATTTCCCTGATGACTAAGGATTTTGAACTTTTCTTTAAGTGCTTCTTAGCCATTTGGGTTTCTTGTTTTGAGAAATCTGTTTAGATCTGTACCCCATTTTTAACTGGGTTGTTTGATTTCTTGATGTTTAGTTTTTTGAGTTCTTTATATATTTTGGTTATTAGCCCTCTGTGGGATGTGTAGTTGCTGAAAAGTCTTTTCTCCATTCTGAAGCTTGCTGCTTTGTCCAGATGACGTTATCTTTTGTTGTGCAGAAGCTTCTCAGGTTCATGAGGTCCCATTATTGATTTTAGTGCCAGTGCTGTGTTCTGTTGTGAAAATAGTCTCCTGAGCCAGCGAGTTCAAGGCTATTCCCACTTTCTCTGATTCAGTGTATCTGACCTTATGTTGAGGTCTTTGATCCATTTGGAGTTGAGTTTTATGTAGGGTGATAAGTATGGGTCTGTTTGGGTCCTTGTACATGCTACCGTCCAATTTAACCAGAACCATCTATTCAAGATGCTTTCTTTTTCCCAATGTGTTTTTCTGACTTATATATTAAAAATTAGATGTCCATAGCTATATGGATTCATGTCTGGGTCTTCAATTTGGGTTTATTAACAGACATGTCTGTTTTTATGCCAATGCCATGCTGTTTTCATTCCCGTAGTTTACAGTACAATCTGTGGTCAGGGAAGATGAGACCTCCAGAAGTTCTATTACTAGTCAGGATCGTTTTGCCTATCCTGTTTTTTTTTTGTTTGTTTGTTTCCATATGATGCTGAAATTTTTCTTTTCAAGATGTGTGAAAAATTGTGTTAGAGTTTTGATGGGGATTGCATTGAATCTGTAGATTGCTTTTGTAGGATGGCCATTTTTACTATTTAGTCCTACTGAGCCATGAGCATGGGTGATCTTTCTATCTTCTGATATCTTTTTAAGCTTCTTAAATTTTTTTTATCTCATAAATCTTTTGTTTGTTTGGTTCGAGTTACCCCAAGATACTTTGTATTATTTATGACTATTGTGAAAGATGTTGTTTCCCAACTTCTTTCTCAGTCCATTTGTTATTTGTGTATAAGAGGGCTGCTGATTTTTATGAGTTAATTTTATATTCGACTACTTTCCTAAATGTGCTTATCAGCTGTAGGAGTTCCCTGGTGGTCTTTTTAGGGTCACTTACTTACACTGTTATATCATCTGCAAACAAGGATTTTTTGACTTTTTCCTTTCCTGTTTTCATCCGCCTTGGTCTCCTCCAGTTGTTGTATTTCTTTAGCTGAAACTTAAGTACTATGTCGAGTAAGTGTTGAGAGAGTGCATAGCCTTGTCTTGGTCCTGATTTTAGTGGCATTGCTCTTAGTCTCTCTCCATTTGAGCAAATGTTGGCCGAGGGCTTGCTGGGAAGTGCCTTTATTAGGCAGTGGTTACATGCTTGGCTTTGCTGTGTGTGGGCAGCCATGCTGGACGAGCAGCAGAAGCAGCAGCCCTGCTAGGTCTGTGCCCTTCTGCAACTTCTTACTGAGGATTTTTTTTTTTTGGTAAGTGACTGAGAAAGTTTTTTCCACAGAGTAAATTGAAATCTAAAGACACAAACTAATGATGTAGAGACAATTCTAAATTGCTGTAATATTACTTTATAGTTAATCAAATTACTATTTTGAGCAGAAGTTTTAATATGTGGGTATCTATAATAAAATTTTGGTTTTCCCATTAAAATTATATATTTCCAATTAAATATTGAGTGGTAATATAAACTAAATTAGAATATATCTTCTATACTAATTTTTCAAAACATTCTGAAGTAAAAGAACATTCTTCTTTATATTCAATTAACTCACTAGACTACTGCTTTTAAATTCCCCTTTGTATTTACAAGTAGTAATCATTAAAGATTCATTTCAAATTCTTGTTTATTTATACATTACCAAGCAGATATAACTAACATTTATGGGAGGCAGTTGGAACAGTTTCACAATTGCATTCAAGTATCTGCTTCTGAACAATAATAGGCCAAATGAGGAGATCTTGACATTTGCTGTGTAGGATGCCCAGGAGTTAGATTTAATTGGGTAGCTCATAAAAACCCAACCAAGCAAGAAAGAGTATAGATACCCCAGACGTCACAACCTAATGACCAGAACAAACTAGTCACCTGGACAGAAAGGGCACTATACTAAACAAGGGATATTGAACATGCTGGATTGTACACCAGGGAAGCATAAGTTGCAGGATGAATAGTCACCATTAGGGATGGAGGACTAGTGATATAGCTTCTAGATTGTACTGTGGCCATTGTATACCATATTTCCAAGGCAAGAATGAAGAATAATATCAGGAACTATGAAATCAGAGCATGAACTTTAAAAAGATGATGTATAACTAACAATGGAAAGAACCACATGGTTTCTTGGGTAGGATAATAATGTTAGGAAGAACAAAAAAAGATTGGCTTAGTATGGGATCAGCTAAGCTTCTGAAATTGTTAGATAAATTCATGGTTTAAGTCTAGGGAAGGAGCAAACTTATAAATAATCCAGTAAGTTAGTAGATAAGTGCTATTGACAAGATAGCAGGGAGTGAAAGGTATAACACGAATTATAATTGGTCTTAATGATAAAAACTCAGACTCAGCTAAGGGGGAAAGCTGTAGGATCTCTAAGCAGAGAGGCCAGCCACTAGAGTTACTTCTACCAGTGCTCAGATAGAATGGGCTATCCATCCTGTCTGTGTGAATCCTCTAACTGCAAGCTCAGACTGAATCCTCAGACTGCATATGAGCTCCTGTCTCCCACCTAATATTTCTCTCTCAGCCCAGCCATTATCACTCCTGTCTCTACCTCCCTAGTGCTGGAATTAAAGGATCACCTTTGTGTGAGCTCTGTTTCTCTTTCAGACAGATTAAATCTCGTGTAGACGAGGCTGGCCTTAAACTCACAGAAATCCATCTGCCTCTGTCTCCTGAGTGCTGAGATTAAAGGTGTGTGCCACCACTCATTGGCCTCTGTGGCTAACTAGTGGCTTAGCTCTGTACTCTGATATTTAGGCAAGCTTTATTTACAAACAAAATACCACTACAGAAAGGGAATAAAATGGGCATATGTATTTTAAGTCAGTTAGGTTGTAATTCAGAGGAACCTTGAAAGGAGTCCAAGTGAAACCAGAGCTCATGCCTTTTGGAGGAAGGATATTTCACATGATGGGAACAGTCTTTGAAACGGCTGACCTGGGAATGCAGTGTTTGCCTCATACACTGCACAGTGTTTAGATTCTTCGTGTGAGAATCCTTGTCAACGTGCAGGACTGTCATCTTAGTAAATGTAATTAGATACTTTATCACAGCATTAGCTTTAGTGATGAAGTACATGTCGAGAAACAGCCTTCCATAAGACAGCTGGAAAGACTTGAGCAGTACGAAGCAGTCGTGAACACAGTTTCCTGTGTTGACATTTCTTCAATAAACTATTTTCCCTTTGACTCTTGTGTTAGAGACATAAATTGAGAATGAGTCGTAATTGCTGTCACTGAGACTGTCATAGAGACTGTGCAGGTAAGTCTCAAAGCAGTAACGTCCCTTATATTAGTTCAAGTGACAGTTTTGACTGCTTTTCAGAGTCTGATTGACTTTTTTCCTTTGTGGAATTCCTCATACTCTTTTGTATGCTTGTTCTACTTCACTGTATTTTTTCGTAGTAATTTCTTTTATGAGTTGTCAGTTCATATCTTCCTTTGCTCCTTTTATTTGGGTCTTGATATTTTTGTTTTTTTAATAAGTTTATGTTTTGTAATTCATGGGAATTGTAATTCTAGAACTGTCACTTTTCCCACAGACTTTTAAAGAAACAGTTTTTTCATCGGGCCCTGAAAGTAATGAAAATGAAGTATGATAAAGACATAAAAAAAGAAAAAGATAAAGGAAAATCTGAAAGTGGGAAAGAAGAAGATAAAAAGAGCAAAAAAGAAAATATAAAAGAAGAAAAGACAAAAAAGGAAAAAGAGAAAAAGAAAGATGGTGAAAAGGAAGAGTCTAAAAAGGTAACTTTCCTGAGTCAAATTAAAACTTTAAAAGTCACTGTGGGGACTGGAGGGATGGGACAGAGGCCGTTTTTCTGGGGACCCACAGTCAGTTTCCAACACCCACGTGGAGGTTCATAACCTCTGTTAACTCCAGTTTCGAGGATGTCTTCTGGCTCTCTTAAAAGCTCTGCATGCACATGTTTTAGACAAAATGCAGGAAAAGCATCCATACACAAATTTAAAAAGTAAAAATCATTTGTACATGTGAACTTTAATTGGCCTATGATCATAAAGCTTTTACAGCCACATGCGGTAACTGTTGGGCTATCTGTAAATACTGATCTCAAGGATTTTTATTAATGTTAAAATCGTCAGATTTCTCCCTTCATTAATGTTACAGTGTTGCTGTCTGAAGCATTTATTCTATTCACCTGTCTGTTCATAGGAAGAAACTCCAGGAACTCCAAAAAAGAAGGAAACTAAGAAAAAATTCAAACTTGAGCCACATGATGATCAAATTTTTATGGATGGAAATGAGGTGAGATTAGAATATTGGATTTGAGTATGATAGAATTCCAGTTTTTCCTAGAAAAATCTTAGAAATATATTTGATACCATCACTATGAAAAGAAATAATTTGGAAAAATCTAATACTTAATTTAAGTACATGAAAGTCACTTTCTAAGCTAGTTTCTAAGCTAGTTTTGTAAGATGTTAGAGTCAGATTTGACTGGGTATGAGTGATGTGAAACCCGAAATTACGATCGCTTAGTATAGAACACATGCTGGACTCTTTCTCATTAGTGTAGTCTAGGGGTGAGCAGCACAGGCATGGAGCTCCATGGCGGGCCTGAGATCCTCCTTTCTTTTTCCCTGTGTTAGAATCTTCTGGCCAAGGTGCCGCATGATGCATGAAGACCATCAACCCTCAAACTACATCCACAGAGAAAAGGAAGGAAAGGCACGTTTATTCCTTTCCAGGAAACCATCTTATGAATGCACACTTGGATTTACTGATCACCTGAAATAAAGTCTTCAAAATGCACTTTTTATACTGAGGGTTTAATTTGCCCAGTCAGAACACAGAATTTCTGTTATCATAGAAGCGGGAGAATGGTTCATGGGAATCACCTACTGGTTTCTGGCTCTTCAACAGTGAGACACAGCTCTTGAGAGACCTGAAATTTTCAACATTGCTAATGCTTTGTTCAAGGGCATAGTTCCATTCTATCTTTTGTAGTGAGATTTATGCGGTGATGGCCTTGCATGAAAGCTGTTATGGTAGTCACTTAACTACTACAAAAATAGTAACTATGTCTTAGCAGCTGAACTGATAAGAATTTCATATTTCAAAGGACATATTCTTTCTTAATTCGCTAATGCCGATTATCAAATATGTAAAAAGTAGTGGCTCCTAGGGCTCTCTGTTTAAATTCTGCATTGGGAAGAGCTTAGATATCCTGAGTTAAGCATTGAGTACATCAGTGTGTGCCGGATGCTTCACAGATGCTGGAAATGGTATAGTAAAATATAGTGCAATTCTCCGTAAAGAATTTTAGAGTCCGCTAAAGACATAGGCACCTACACATCTTTCTGTATTCTGTATAATGTAGTAAGCATTGCCGGTTACCAGTTAGGTAGGAGACGGTAGACACCTGCCGTAAGTCTTCAGAACCAACTGGCAGATTGCCCATTGTACCAGGAAGGAATTGTAGGTCTGTCCGGGAGGAAGCAGGCTGAACAAAAGCTGAACCCTTGTCATCTTGAAAAGGTTAGTTTGTGTGCACACATACCCACACACTAAAATTCGATAATGTCTCTTTTTAAAATATAGCAGTTTAGGGTTTTATTTAGTTTTGAGTAACAAAACTAATGTTTGTGAATCTAATTCCCAGAGAATATGTAAACAGTGTAATAAAGGTTGAGTTGAAATCTCGAGTGTTAGAAATATAAATAAATCAGAAGAAAAAACAATAAAAAGTTTTTTCAAAATAGAACTCGGAAATGGAAGAATGCTGTACTTTACTAACTAAGTGCTCAAACTAAGAGCCTTTTAATGATTGAGTATAGTTCTGATCTGAAAGAAAAAAGGTTTTCGGGTGTTCCGAGGTTGGGGTGCCTTCAAGGAGCTAGTGTGGAGTACACTTGACTACAATGTGACCGTAGAACTTTTAAGCACTGAGGTTTCTTGATTCTTCTAGGTTTATGTGTGGATCTATGACCCAGTTCACATTAAAACATTTGTCATGGGATTAATTCTTGGTAAGTAGGCGGATATAAGTAGCTTTTCAGTGTAATCTAGAGTTTAGAGGGCAAAATGTAGCACCTCAAAGGTAAATAATTCTAAATTTAATACAGAGTAAGAACTGTTTAAGAAGATACTTTACAGAAAATTAGAATATAAGTAATAAACTAAAACTGTTAGCAACAACTAAAACAAATATTTTTTAGAGATTTACATTGTAGAGCAGCCTGGTTAAATAGAGACAGGTGTAGCCACACCTAAGAGGAAACACAGGACCAGTCTTTGTGAGTAAGACTTCATTTTAACAGTGAAGTAGCTAGGACTGAGGTTACAAAAGGTATCAGTGAAAGTGCGAGGGGAGGGAGGACACACTCCAACAGTTCGACAAATATTTTAAATTGTAGGTGTAAATACCTTGACCCTGTAAGTCTTGCATTTTGTGCCTTTGTTTACTATTTTTATCTACATACTTTAGACTACATTTAAAGAAAACAGTCTAGCAGTTAACATTCAAATTTTAAATGTCTGTGTCTTTTGGTCTACCAATTACATTGAAAGAAATTCACTGTGGTGCTTTTTGGTGGTGTTGGGTTTTGTTTTTGTTGCAGTGCCTGGGATCTAACCCAGGGCTTTTTATACATGCTAGGCCAGCACTTCGCCACTGAGCTACATTCCCCAGCCTAGAACTCATTCTGTTATGTAACTCTATTCATGCAATATACATGTGCAAGTATATTTGCAGTATTGTCTCTCTTACCATGTAAAACTGAGAGTAGTTCAAGGTTCTCAGTAGAAGAACGAAATGATGGCACTGTAATAGAATTTCATGAAGCTTTTAAAGATTGAAAAGAGAAAACCCCCAAAGAGAGAATTACCTAAATTCATTTATTTATAAAAGTTTATTTGTAACTAATTTTTATTGTACGTAAGCAGTCTCTGGAAATAGAAAATAAGCTTACTAGTGTTTACTGCTGGAAGGTGGGACAAAAACTGAATGATTTAATCTTTACTATAGCCTTTTACTCATTTTTTATATGGGTGTTAAACTTGTACATGTATTTTTTTAAAGTTTAGGGGCAAGATGGGGTTGAAAAAAAATAAATAGCAAAAACAGATACTAGTTAAAATATGATTGGACAATAGAATGCTATAGGATCCCATTTAGAGGAACTTACTGTAAGAACTGAAACTTAATTAAACTCCAAAAAATAGTCTGTTTAGTGCTTGCAATGTGGTAGTCACTTTGTCATTAATTCCTCTGATGTCTCATTCTAATAAGAACAGATACATTTTTTTAAATATTATGTGTGAAATATTCTGTCTGCGTGTATGCCTGAAGGCCAGAGGAGGACACCAGACTCATTACAGATGGTTGTGAGCCATCATGTGGTTGCTGGGAATTAAACTCAGGACCTTTGGAAGAGCAGGCAATGCTCTTAACCTCTGAGCCATCTCTCCAGCCCCATAAGAACAGATATTTATCAAATACAAGGTAAAATAGCTTTGAGAGGGTTACCTAGCTTACACATGATAGAGCAGGAATTGGAATTCTCTTCTTAATGGTAAAGACCTAGTAACCAGGCTACTCATTTCCTAACAGTTTTCCCTTGGGTACTACTATAATTCCAAAAAATAAATAAATAAATAAAACTAGAGGTTCTTGTATATAGTTTCTCTACCCACTCTGCCCCCCCCACACACACACTTTTTTTTTTTTTTTTTTGAGAGTCTGAATCTGATTCCCCTGGGAAGGAATCTTCAGAATTTTGAGAGTCGGGTATTGTTTTGTTGTTGTTGGGTTTTTGTTTTGTTTTTCAAGACGGGGTCTCTACATAGCCCTGGCTGTCCTGGAACTCGCTGTGTAGGCCAGGCTGACCTCGAATTCACAGACATCTGCCTGCATCTGCCACCTGAGGACTGAGATTAAAGGTTTGCACCACCACCCCACCATCTAGCTGTTTGTTTTGTTTTTTTTTAGCTTCCTTTCTCGTAATATTAAAAAAAACTTCAAAGTGACAATAGTTTTAATTTATATGCAATAATTTTTATAATTAATGTAATATGGACTTTGTTCCGTATGTTAACCTAGTTTAAGAACAATATAAAGTGAAATTGCTGATAGTTCATTTTTATGCAAATGGTACTTTTTTGCTTCAAGTATTCATCAGTTTTCCCCCCAAGAAAAGAATGTTTTCACTGTTATTTGTAACCAAGCCATTAAGATATTTGTTTTAAAACTTTTAACTTTTTTGTATGTAACTTTGTCATTTCTTATTTCAGTTATTGCAGTAATAGCAGCCACCCTCTTCCCTCTCTGGCCAGCAGAAATGAGAGTAGGTGTCTATTACCTCAGTGTAGGTGCAGGCTGTTTTGTGGCCAGCATTCTTCTCCTTGCTATTGGTAAGTGTTTAATAATGCTGATCTGGGTATAGGTAGGTGTTGAGCACTTAGACTTTAACCTGGAGTGGAGCTCCAATGAAGTTTAATAGCAAAATTAGTACTGGTTAAGTCCAGAAGTGTGACCCTCCTTTCTAGGTCAGATCTCAGAGCTCAAACATGATTACATTACCTCTGATCTGGGATTTGCTCTATCTTTTCAAAATTTAATCTTTTATTAATACTGCATTTGATTAATGAACACAATTCTATAAAGTCTAAAGTACAATTTACATATTTATATGTGTGTGTATGGATTTAGGGAATGATTAAATCAAGTTAAAATAGCCATTGTCTTGTTTAGCTATCGTTTTTTATGGTGAGACATTTGAAATTTACTCTTATTTATTTTGAAATATATATTACTATAGTTTAATCTGCATGTAGTTATGTCTTAAAATTTGCTATAATGAAGATTTATTTTTGCAGTGATGAATCAGTAGATATTTGAGGTAAGGTAAATGGAGTTTATATTACATATTTAAGTTCAATTCATGTATTCAGTTAAGTGGTTCTAAACAATTTGTTTGCCACTTTAAGGGCAATTACAACTTTTCACATGGGTACCAAAATTAATTCTAGATAAATTAAGGTACTGAATTACTAAAAACCAAATAGGAAATAAAAGTGAATGTTTTTTTAAAATTCACAATTATTGAGATCTTTTATGCCTTTTTTAAAAGACAGAATCTCATTATGTAGCCCTGGCTGGCCTAAACTCACTATATAGACCAGGCCAGCCTCAAACTCACAGAAATTTACCTGTCTCTGCCTTTCCAAGTGCTAGAATTAAAAGCATGTGCCACCTCTCCCAGCCAAGAGTAGTCTTCTTTTATAGAAAAATAAATCACTGACAGTATTGATCTAGTTCCTCCTGTTGAAAAGATAAAACACTAACCTAGATGCATAGTTAATTTCATTTCTGTGTAGCATGATTACTATAGCCCTAAACAGTTTTCTCTGTTCACACTTTCCCTGTCACCAGGGTATCCTGAGTTGGTGAGATCACCCACATGAACCCAGGATTTCATCTACTAATTTTTAGTCTACCGTGGTGACAGGACCCTCTCCCCCCAACACACACACACATTTCATCTATGTTCCCTGACTGAGTCCCTTTCCACCTAACTTTCATTTTTTTTCCTTCTTCTAGCTTAGTCACCTTGAGAAAAATCGCTTGCTGCTTCTGCAGAAAGCTCAGCACAATTGTAGGCCACGAAATAATAATCAGTCGTATTAAACAGGTAACTAGTGTCAGTGTGATGCCTATATCAAGGAGAAAAGCCACAGACTTTGAACTCACATTTAGATACAGTAAATCAATCTTACAATTTGACCTGACTGTCAAACCAGTGAAATTACAGAAATTCCTTGCAGTTTTTGAGCAAAGGGTTAACTCTACTGACTAGATTTATTCTAGTTGCAATATTTTAATTAAGCCATAGTCACTATAATTTATGTTAGCTTGTTTTGACCTTTAAAATGTTTCTTGAATTTGGAAAATATTTTTCCAAGTTCCTGTATATATAAATATGTAGTTTACATCAGATAGTCTTGCAAGTTAAAGTTAGAAACAAACCGTTATACATGTAAATACAAATGTTAAGACAAGGTCTTGTATCTTGAGGCCAAGCTATCATCAGAATTGCTCTATAGCAGAGAGTGACCTTGAATTTATCACCCCCTGTTTCTGCGTCCCAGATGCTGCCATTATGGGCATTCATCACCATACCTGGTTTTATGTGGTACTAGGAATTAAACCCAGGGGCTCGTCCTGCGTGCTAGGCCAGCATTCCATCAACTGAGCTAATTCCACCCTCTGAATTTTTCTTTGAAATAGTTTTAGTCTATGGCCCACTTACAAATCCAGTGGTATAGAATTGTTCAAAAGTCTTTTGGTGTTTTTCAATTTCCATGGTTAAATCACCACTTAAGTAAGACTGACATTTTTCTAAAATGTAGAGCTTTTACTACAAGAAATGGTAGGATGGTATATGTCGTACTTTTTCTGTGGTTCATTTATTTATTGCCATATAAAACTGGAATGTTAGAATTCTTCTGTGTGTAGTTTACATGTCATAAGAAGTTCAGTTTTATAATCTTTCTATAATGCTATTTCTTGCATTTGATAAAATATTTTACCTGTCTTACAACTCTGTTAATGAACTAAAACATCGCAGTTGTATTTGAAGGAAAGAATGTGTTGCCTCTTTAAAAGTTGCACGTTATGTTTTTGTTTGTTTGTTTTTGTTTTTCGAGACAGGGTTTCTCAGTGGAGCTGTGGAGCCTGTCCTAGCATAGCACTGGCTCTGTAGACCAGGCTGGTCTCAAATTCACGGAGATCTGCCTGCCCTCCCAAGTAGTGGGACTAAAGGCATGCATCACCATCATTATAGCCTCACATGTACTTGCCTTCTTTGTGTCATAAGTAATTCTTATCTGCAGTATTATTTGATTCATTTTTATTCTCATGAAATAAAAATACTACTTTATAAGAAAAATTATTTATAAATACTGCCCTATAAATTAAGGCATATATAAAAACCATTCTTTTGATTTATCCAAAGCACAATTATGAAAAAAACATGGATCAACTATTTTGTTAGCTTTCTTTGAAATAGTTATTTTTAATTTTAAAGAGAATGAAACAAAACTTTTTACCCTAGTACATTTGTATAATCCTTGTGACCTTTTAAAAAAAGAAAGAAGCCAAGTGTGGTCCTCACATTCAAGACAAGAGGCAGGCGGGTCTGAGTTTGAGGCCAGCTTGATCTACAGAGCAAGTTCCGGGAAAGCCAGGCTACAGAGAGAAAACCTGTTTTGGGTAATAAAAGAGAAAAAAGAAAAATCACTAATCTGTACATCATTGGTAAATAATAGAAAACCATTTGAAATATTGAGGTGTCTGATAATAATACACCTGATAATCTCAGCCAAGCATGATTACAAAACACTGTGATCTGAGCTACTTGGAAGACTGAGACAGAAGATCGGGGCCATCTTGAATTACATAGCAAATCACAGGCTCTGGACAATGTAACCTATCTCAGAATTTAAAAGGGTTGAAGGTATAGTTTTATGTTGCTTCACTGATAAACATTTTACACTGCCCGGGATTCAAGCTCAAGTACCAACCAAAACGACAAAAAAAGTTTCTTCATACACCATGCGTTTGAGCAGTCTTGCTATGTTAGCATTATGGTTTCCTGGGGTTTCTTTGGTTGTTTGTTTCTTGTAGTTTTGAGATAGAATCATGATATGTATCCCAGACCTGGTCTCCAAATGCTAGGATTACAGGCCTGCACCCTATTCCTAGCTTATATTTTAGGTATGTAAAATTCTTCTTAGTATTGAGGGAGTTGACACTTAAACATAATTGGCCTAATTAATATAACAAGAATTCAGTGATAGAAATTTTCTAATACCTGAATTCTTCTTCCAAGGCTAAACTATCTTGTAGACAAGTTAGCACATGCTTTAGCTTCAGAACATATGTAAAGGCCCACTGACTTGCTCACACATATTTTAAAATCAGAAATAATAATATTTATGTATATGGACTTGTTCAGCATTATATTTGCTTTTCTAACATATTGTATGTTGAATGTAGTTTTAGTATTTTTTTAATCAAGATAAGTACATAAGCACCAGGAAGTAAGGCATTTTCTTTTTACCAGTTGGTTTTTGACAGATTTTTTCATGACTTACTCTTTTGTTTGCACTCGCTATGATCTCATGAGTGCTTCAACTTCCAACTGACTACTGTTGTTTCCTGAAGTAGATCACAAAATGCATGAATCATAAGTGTGTGTCCCTGAAACAGCATCCATATTTGAAAAAAAATAAAATTTTTTAGTGTGTCATTACATTTGTGCCCTAAGTTGAGAGCAGAATACTCTGTTCTTACAATATTCTCATCTGCTAAGCTATTCTGATTTTAAATTTTCATCTCTCTGTGGTGCATAAATGTGCAAATAAAGCTAATTATTGTCCCAGTTTCTTTTTCACAAATTTTTATTGCCGTTGATTCAGTGCTTAATTTATTCAGGCGAAACTTTTCTCCCCACAGCTCGCTGTATTCTGTTCCTCATCATTTGGCTGTTGACTGGAGGAAGGCACCACTTTTGGTTCTTGCCAAACCTAACTGCTGATGTGGGCTTCATTGACTCCTTCAGGCCTCTGTACACACATGAATACAAAGGACCAAAAGCAGACTTAAAGAAAGAGGAGAGATCAGAAACCAAAAAGCAACAGAAGTCCGACAGTGAGGAAAAGTCAGACAGTGAGAAAAAGGAAGATGAAGATGGGAAGGTAGCACCAGGGAATCATGGAACAGAAGGCTCGGGCGGAGAGCGGCACTCAGACACGGACAGTGACAGGAGGGAAGATGACCGGTCCCAGCACAGTAGTGGGAACGGGAATGATTTTGAGATGATCACGAAAGAGGAACTGGAACAGCAGACAGATGGAGATTGTGATGAAGAAGATGATGACAAAGATGGAGAAATGCACAAATCTGCACATGAAAAATTATAATCTGACGAATTTGAGGACTGAATAAGTGCAGCAAGTTGGGTTTTCTACCTTGGGTGATCATAATGTACACATGGCATTTGCAGCATTCTTTAAATCCATTTTCTGAAATGTATTTGACATTCAGTTAGAGTCAGCCTTTTGTTCTGTAGAGCATTGGTACTATTGGCACAGTCTACAGCCATTACTAATGTATCCATCTGATAATTTTACAGGAAGTAGGCCTCATTTTGATAGTCATCAAAGAGATATTGTCCACAGTGACATTTAGATTAAGGGCATTTTTGATAGTTGTATGGCTTTTTACTGTTAGACTAATGGAAATCACTAAAGAAACTGCAGCATTTCAAATTATGCATAAGTATATAGCCATTTTGCAGTTTCTTTACAATGAAATGCATAAACTCATTGTTCTTGGTAACTATGCTTTTGTTTTTCTTCATAAATTATACCAGAAAATTCCTTTTTAAGATTTTGAGTTAACAGGGATCAAGAACATTTTGTGGAAACAAACCAGCTAGTAACAGTGTAGCCAGCGATACTTTTAATTTAGCTACAAATTCTCCTTTTCCAACTTAGGAAATCCAAACTGAATTGTGCATTCAATCCAGAGAAAGGTGGTCATCTCCAACACAGTGAAGAGCACTGATTAGAAGATGAGGGCTCTTCCTTCCTCCCATCTCCTTGTCATAAAATGTATTCTGTACATAATTTACAAATAAAACATTTTATTTTAATTGTTACTTATTATTTAGACATTTCTCAACACTTAAATTTGTAAAACAACAACCATGTAAGGGTATGTTTTTAGAGTTTCAGTAACCCACAGAACATCTGATCTTTCTACAGCAGCTTCAGTCGTGTGCCAACATTCCATGTATTTTAGTAGGAGTAAAAATGATCCTTATTTTAAATAAGAACAGATTTAAAGTAGCTGTTTGTACGCCTTAATGTTCATTTTGATTTATTTTAAATCTTTACATTTAGAAATGGGGACTATGTTATCAGACCAGGAGGCACTGCTGTGAAAGACAATTTGCTGTTCTAAAATACCAATTAAAAATAAAGAATATAAAGAAAACATAGAAAACCATTGGACTCTAATTGCTTCAAAGTAGTTCTGCCATTTCATTTTTTTTTTTTTACACACTTTAGTTACAGACCTTTTAAAACACTTGTTTACTTTCAAGCATTCATTCCTTGGAGCTACAATCTCACACACTGATAGTGAACACTAATTAAGTCCTTTCCTTCAATCACGGTGACTTTGTTACAGTTAGTAAGTGGTGGATTATGTAAGGTCTTCATCTTTAGGCTGTTTTCCCTGAGTGTTTGACTAAAGGTGACCTTTAATTGTGAGAAAGTGTACTCTGTACTCTGAAATCTTAGGAACTATGACTTGATCATTTCCTTAGTCTTCCCTATGTGTGGATGGAAGTGTGGCTGCAGTCCTTCAAGAGGTTCCTCAAAGCACTGCAGTTGTTGTAGTGCCTGGGTATTTTTCATCCATGTTTGCAGAGCCCTTCTGCTTCACTTCTACAATAAAGAAAAGGGTAGCCACAGCTTATGGGCCTACTAGTTTCAGTAGATTGGTACTTTTGGGGGACTATGAAAATGGAGCTAGAATGTTTTACAACAATAAAACTGCTTTGTTAACCTCTACTCCTATGGTACTCAGGCACTCAATATTTATGTGCGAGTTCGTTATAACATTTGTTTTGTGTCTAGTCTAAAAAGTGAGGAATGCTATAGCTTAAAGTCCACCCATTGATGTGTGTGAGTTTCTACAGGACTTATAAACATTTGATGACCTTTGGGGAGGATAGTCTTATTGTAGTTAAATATGAGCTAGAAACTTCAGCTTATTGTATGCCTCAAGGTTGAACAATTTAAACAAATATAAAAATCAAAATGCTTCCTCTGTTGTCTTCAGAAGTCTTGGTTGGCTAACTAAATATCCTTGTGTCCAAGCATGGAGAATTGTTTACAATAGCCAATGGAGTGGTGGTTTTTAACAGTGATTTCATATGCTGTTGTAAGTAGAAGCACAAAGCTTTTGAGTAATGTGGGATTTATTGTGGAGTGTGTACACTGGCCTAAGCAGGACTGGACCAGCAAGGGCCTGCGTCCAGATGGAAGAATGGTGCATTGTGAATATTCTCAAAATTAAGGTATTATTATCTAGGGTGCTTTACCTTTCCCTCCTATTGAATTCTTTAATTTTTAAGTTATAAGGCCTTCTAGAGAATGTTAATAATCTCAATGAATACTACTCAGAAAGTAATAAATTTTAATATATTACATTGAAATATGCAGTAGTGGTGGATTTTGGTGTTTTTTCCCTCTTTCTGGTTTTTTATTGTACCAATTGCTTCTGGCTAGAAAAAAATATCATTTATAAGTTTTCTTTTTAAGACTGAGGAATTAGAAAACCATGTGTACAGTTGTTTTTCTTTATGGTTATATTTTGTGAAGTCTGGAATTCAGGATTAGCAAATCCTGGACCCTATGTGTAAGGGAAGTATGGGGTTTCTACAGGCCTCTGTTAATACCGTCTCATCAACAGGAAACTTGTTTTAGCTGTCTCTGTTTAGAAGACATGTTAATACATGTTAGTGACTCCTAAACATTGAATTCCTGACCAATAGAATATTAACTTCTGCCCAAACATATTTTCTCCATAACTCACATCGTTGTATTTTTGCCCTTCAGGAACATGAGATGACATTTTAACACTACCTTTGGTGATCATTTTAAACAAAATCACCAACAAAAAGCACAAAAGTGAAAAACATTAAATTGCAAAAAAAGTAGTGCAAGATCTAGAAAAAGGCAGCCCTGTCCAGTTGCCTCTTCCCTCTGAAATAGGATTTATTGATGAATCATGCTCCAACACTGAGTAATGTTTTAAATATTTACTCTGCCTGGAAGTAGTTTCTAATTATATCATCAGTAAACTGCTTCTCTATTTCAGCAGTGTTTCAGGTCTATTCACTGATCAGTAATACTGAGCTTTCACATGTCAGAATCTGCTAAGGCACACCCATGAATGAAAGCCCAATTCTGCCAGCATGGAGCTCTACGCAGTGCTGGGCAAAGATTTGCTAGATATGCTGGGTGTCTCTTACCTGCCCAGATCCTCTTTGGTTCTGCCCACTGAGGGAGACCTGAATGGAGGAGCAGTCAACTCTTGTTTCTTCTGGCCAAAATCAATATGGGGAGGAAAGGGTTCGTTGCACCTTACATTATAAGTCCATCACTGAGGGAAGCCAGATTAGGAACCGATGGAGACATAGAGGAGTACTGCTTAATGGCATCTTTCTGTGACTTGCTCAGTCTGCTGCTTGCTGTATTGTTTGTTGTTTTGGGTTTGTTTTTTTTTTTTTCTGGGGGATTTTTGTTTTATTGTTTTTGGTTTTTGAGACAGGGTTTCTCTGTGTAATAGCCTTGACTATCCTTTAACTTGGCTTTATAGATCAGGCTGGCCTCGAACTCACAGAAATCCGCCTGCCTCTGCCTCCCCAGTACTGGGATTAAAGGTGTAGGCTACCACCACCTGGCTTTGGTCTGCTTTTTTTAAAAATTGTTTTGAGATTATAATTACAGTTTAAATCATGTTTTGAGACTATAATTACATAATTTCCCCTTCCCTTTATGCCAAACCCTCCTCTATATTCCTCCTTATTCTTTTTCCAAATTTCTGACTTCTATTTTTATTAATTTTTGTTTTATAAATACATTCCCAAATATATAAGTAAAACCTGCTGAGTCTGTATAACGTTACCTGTATGTATGTTTTCAGGGCTGACCATCACTTGGTATTGAATAACCGATTGATGTGTACTTAGAGAAGACCATTTCTCCTGTCTGAGCATACCTGTAGTTCTTTGTGTAGGGTTGAGGCCTCATGGAATTTCTCTGTTCCATGTTAGCATGTCTGCTGTCCTTATTCAACTCATGTTTAGGCAGTCGTGTTGGTGGCTTAATGGGTGCAGTTTCTGACCTTAATAGGAGACACAGCAAACTTTGAGATCCGCTGGCCCTTACTGTACATGAATAAAACAGACAGATACTGAAATTCATCCTGAAGATCAGAAAAGCAAAGCAACTCAGCCACTAGAGAGCTCTTATCTCTATGAAATCTTCAGACTGAAAGAGAGTTCCTGTCTCATCCCTCTAGTGCTGGGATTAAAGGTGTGCACTACCACGGTCTGGCCTCTATGGCTGACTAGTGTGCTGTTTTGTGTTTTGCTCTTCAGGCAAGCTTTATTAAAATAAAAATGAAATACCAATTTTGTCTAAAAAAAAGGCTATAATAGAAAAAATCGTGCAATAAGAACAATAACTATATATAATATGTACAGGCAATAAATACATTAACAATGTCTGTTGTGGGACAATGGTCTGTACCCTGTCACTTCTATTTTAATAAAATGCTGATTGGCCACTAGCCAGACAGGAAGTATAGGACGAGGTGGCGAGAACAGGAGAATTCTGGGAAGAGGGAAGTCATAGTCTACAGTTGTCACCTAGATGCAGAGGAAGCAAGATGAGAACACCTCACTGATAAAGGTACCAAGCCACATGGCAAACACAGACAAGAATTATGGGCTCATTTAAGAATTAATAAGAAGCCTAAGCTAATAGACCAACCAGTTTATAATTAATGTAGACCTCTGTGTGTTTCTTTGAGACTGAATGGCTGTGGGACCAGGCAGGACAAAAAACTCTATAAACAAATGTCTAGTCCATTTGCATTTGACAAATTCAGAGAAAATTTATCTGTCCTGTCTTGGTGAGTCCAAAGTCTTGTACCTAATTTACTTTCTATCATTAATAGCTTTCTGCATCTGGTAAACAAGGAAAACTATAACTATCTAGTCTTCAACTCCCTCAGAGACCCAAGAAGTCAATAATAGTAATTGAGTAAGCAGAAAGTGCAAGTAAGTGACTTCAAACAAATGTGAGAAATGACAGAAACAGCTGTCTACCTGGGCAGTCACCCAAAATTTCTCTGCAATGTTGGGGCATCCAATCTTTGGCCTACAGGCCTAGCATATCTGACAGATTTTTCCATGAAGCAGGATATACTGAGGGGCTATTCCTCCTGTCTTGACAATGTTTGACAATCACTTTCTTTTGTGTCCTGCTTGTCCAGTTAAGCTAGTATACTGTCAGCAGTCAAGGCAAGGGGATTTTCTTGCCCAGTGGCTTACTTTTACAACAAAGAAAGTAAACTCCATATGGAGTTTCTTCCATATCCATTATCATCTCTGAAGTAGATTGGTGCTGCCAGGAGGAGACATGTCTCATTGTCATAAAAAAAAAACCCATGTTATTAAAAAACCTTAAATGACATATTCTATAGATCACTGAAATGTTTGAAGATGACCTATCTAAAATATCTTTGATTGACCTTGAAAATATTCATAATGACTAAGTTTGATTATAATAGGTGATTTAACTACTAACCTACATTTTCTTATTATCCTAAACAGTTGGAAATAATAATTTTCAAAGACTAGAAATTTGCATTACATTGTTAAATAAGTTATATAGGTACAATAACTTGAACAAGAGTAGAAATGTATGTACATTATGTTCTAACATAATTTCAAATTTATATCAATATAAAAATTTGTATACAATATACAAAAGTCCAATCCAGAGTAAAACATTTAAAACTAGTAGTTGCTTTTAAAAAGTTGATTTAATAATCTATATTTTTATCCTATCTGTATTTCCTTTTTCAAAACAAGAACTCTGAATCTAATCTCCCTTATTCAACTTTCTTCCTGACCATAAAAATAACAACTTGTAACCAATCCCTGTAAACAATGACAAATATTCATAACTGAATGAGAGACCCAAAACCACCCACCCTACCTCTTGGAAGCTGTGTTTTAAATTTATTTCCTGCTATCTGGGGGCAATGACGTTTTTAAGGGATCCTGAAAATAAAAACTCTTCTACCCAAAAAAATAAAAAAAAAATAACCAGAGTCAACAACCACTGGTCATTAATATCACTTAATATCAATGGACTCAATTCACCTATAAAAAGGCACAGACTTAGAGATTGGATACAAAA